CATCAACCATGGTGATCTATGGATGAAGTTCTGCCTTTGAAAGTAGAATTTGACTTATTGATTGCTTTAAAATTTAAGCCTGAAACTGTGGAAGTTTGGAGAAAGACTGGACTAGTGTAGTAGTAGTACCTGCTGAATACAGGCAGAGAGATGTATATAATTAAGATTTTTAATGCTTCCTAGAAAATTGTAAAGAACCTATGCAGAAACACTTTTTAAGCATTGTTTCATGTTGGAATATTCTGTGTTCCTATCATTATCCAAAACTATTCCTATCCAAATCAATAGATTTGGCTCAGTGTTAGAAATATTTTAGTACCATAACTGTTCTTATCTCTTTTTCTATATATTGTCAGGGTAACTGTCCTGGTTTCAGCTGGGATAGAGTTAATTGTCTTCCTGGTAGCTGGTATAGTGCAATGTTTCTGAGCTAGGTCAGAGAAGAATGTTGATAATACTGATGTTTTCAGTTGTCAATGTTTAGTCTCAAGTCAAGGATTTTTCAGCTTCTGATGCCCAGCCAGCGAGAAGGCTGGAGGGGCACAAGAAGTTGGGAGGTGACACAGCCAGGACAGCTGACCCAAACTGGCCAAAGGGGTATTCCATACCATGTGATGTCATGCTGAATATATAAACTGGGGGGAGTTGGCCAGGGGGATTGCCGTTGGGGGACTAACTGGGCGTTGATCGGCAGGTGGTGAGCAATTGCACTGTGCATCATTTATATATTCCAATCCTTTTATTATTGCTGTTGTCATTTTGTTAGTGTTATCATTATCAGTTTCTTCTTTTCTGTTCTATTAAACCGTTCTTATCTCAACCCACGAGTTTTACTTCTTTTCCCAATTTTCTCCCCCGTCCTACTGGGTGTGGGGGGCAGTGAGTGAGTGGCTGTGTGGTGCTTAGTTGCTGGCTGGGGTTAAACCACGACAGTAACCCTTTTCAAAAACCTCATTCTCACCACCCCTCCTTGTTTGTGAGGGCATGAAGGAAGCTCAAAAGTCAGAGTCTGCCCATCATCTACTTGCTACTTAATGAAGTCTGTTATTTCATTACTGTATTGGCAGGTCTTTTTTCATAACTGCCTGACAGTAACTTAGTTTCAGTCAAGCATCTTCCATGTGGAAAAACTGAAAAGCAAGTAGATGTTGGAGATGAATTATAGTAATTTAAGTAATTCTGCTACAGAACTCTGTATTCTATTGGTACAGTAAGAGCTTGGAAGAAAGCTAGCTTTTATATTTCTACAGGTTTTATTATTTCAGAGAAATAAATTAGAGCAGTTCAATATAAAAGTTTTTGTGTAGTTTTGAGTAAATGTTACTGTATTAATTTGTGCTTGATTCATGCTTTCAAAATACTCTCTACATTTGCAAACTGTCATGGTTCAGTTTAAAATCACATTGTTATTTTTAAGGTGCAGTTAGGCATTCATAAGTCTAGAAATGTAATAATTTACATTCGTGGATGAGGTATTTTATGGTGTATGCCATACTTATTTTTTTTTCTTGCCATAAAGACATCTTTTGAATACTTGTTCTTGTAGTCTTATTTTGTCAGCTTACCTTTTTTTTTTTGGTCACCTAAAGCAAGGTCCTGTATTCTCTTAGTATCTGTAATGTAACTATTGATTTTTTTTGATAAAATCTAATGCCTCATGGGAACTGATGGCTGGAACTAAAAAAGCAATCCAAGTCCAGGGCAGGGCAGGAGAAAAATCTCAGATATAGAAGGAAAAGAGTAGAAATGAATGGTGAGTGATCACTGCACAGTTCTGACTTTGAGGTAGAGAGGAACAGAAATGTGTTCCCTATGGAACATGTTTCACATCATTGCTGAATCCAGTGCTACTCCCATTCAAACTGTTTGGAAGTTGTTTTTGCTTTGGGATCTTCCATTGTCCCAGCCAGTCCAGCTTCAGCCTCAATATATACACTCAGAGAAGGGCCTCATTGTGAGTACCTTGTGATGAAGTGAGAGTAACTACACTAAAGATGGAAAGTAGAGCTCTTCTGCAATTTGATGTTAGCTCTCTGAATTATAGTAATATTGACTGAATAAGCATGTGATGAATTGTACTAACCCAAGCTGTATCGTTAGCTATTACCCTGCCACATTGCCAAGTCAATCATCAGTAGTGCTTGAGCTTTGAGGTACTCCTGTGATAATAAAAAGCATAGTTTAACTCAAACTGGAGAGCAATATGTGTGGATAGGGTAATCACTAAAGTTAACGTTGCAGTAAAAGGCAGCTTTATGTTTCTGTTCCAAGGAGTCCTTACACTGTGCTGCTCAATGATGGCCCCTGTACCAGAGGAGTTATTTGCAGCAGAGAATTTGGACAGCATGTAGCACTTGCCTTCCTTCACCAATAAGGCTTGTGATGCCCTAGCATTAAGTAAATGAGAGATCTGTAATAATAAAGAGCTTGAATCTATTCCAAATGTTAGAGCTCTCTGCTGTAACCAGATAGTCTTGTATTCTTGCTGACTAATTGAGGGTGTTATTTAGTCTTTAAATTCAATGAGAATGCAGACACAATTCTCACAGAAAAAGTTCTACAATAGTATAATAGAGTCTGGAGTAGTGCCAGTAGGTATCGGACTGAAGAAATGAGACTCTTGAGAAGGAAAAGTTCTGCAGTAATCAGCCTGTGGAAGTTTTATTCCAGGCAGAACTATGGCACAGTCTTTTGTTGCAAGTAAAATGGTTTTACTTCTTGAAATAACAATGGATTATTATTTTTTTAATAGCAAGAACAATGCTTTTTGAGCTATGTAGCCACATTTATTTTCTGCTTCTAGACAATCCATACTTCACATATAACATTGTTTCCTTTCTTATTGAAGTATTAATCTTGTTTTGAGCTTGCATGAATTTTCTTAGAAAAAGAGAATAAAGCACTATTAAAGCTCTTTTTTGTTAGGTTTTGAATTTACAAATACTTGATTTTTATCTTTAGAATTTATATTTATAAAGTTTAATTGTGAACTCATTTAATTAGAAGTTCACTTTCTGAACAGTCATTTCTCTAATGCATGATCAGTTTCAGCTCAGTTCAATAGTTTCAGCTGCTGAATTTCTCTGAACAGCTACTGTAGGAAAAGTTGTATCAATAAATACATCAAAGGTATTCAACTGAGAATAATTCTGGGCCTCATCATCTTTAATATATTACTATTTTAATGTATTCACTTCTGATCCTTTTAAAGCTGAAATAGTTGTGTATTGTGAGTGTTGTGACTTCAAACATTGGCAGGCCTTGAGGCAGCAAAACTAGGGATTATTATAGCATATCTGGAAGAGCAGCATACTTTCATTTTGTGTTATGGCAAGTCGTGAATCACCTAGGGAAATAGCCACATGGTTTGATAATGACTTATGCTGAAGAATACTGCTTTTCTCCTAGTCCCAAATGAGACGTGATTGGACTGATCCATACTCAAGGACACTTTTTAAAAAAATAGGTCAATCTTTTGTACTTTGGAAAATTACAAGATGTATTGAGAAGTTTCTTGTACCTGCAATACATTGCTCCTCTGTCACCAGGATGTAGTCTCGAACTAGATTGTTTCTTAGACTTGCATACTCTTACTGTTTCTGCAGACATACTTCCCTCATGGCCTGATTAAGTGTTATATCTCTTCTGAACTTCTATTAAGTTATTTCTTTCCCAGTCTGCCCTTTGCTGCTTTTCATGTTCTTTGTTCTGGCTTTTGCACAGTAGTCTTACAAGATGTTTCTCTTTTCCTCTCAGGCTTCCATCTCACCATTACCTTCAATTAAGTTCTTGTTAAACTGGCATCTCTCCCTTCTCACTTTTGTGGTCTCTTCCTTCTCTTCTTTTCTCATATTCTTCTGCTACCTTGCCTCTTCCTTCCATAATAATTAAGTTATTTCTTTTCATTGGTCAGTGACATTCACAGGTCTTTCTAATCATCATAAACTAAAATAAGCATGGTTTCATCCTAGACATGCTCTTTGCAGAGCTTTAAAGCGCAAGTGCACAATGATGCTGTTTATACAGTTGCGGGATAACTGGTTGTGTGGCAGTCTGCAGTTGTTTTGCTGTTGTAGGCAGGAGGAGCAGTGCCTTTCATACTTTCTGCTTCCCTGTAGCTTCCTAGGTGCTGTCTTGAAAGTGTATGAATATTGTAGCCTGTTCTCAGTGTGTAGTATGATGGTTGAGAAATGGGAGATTACAATTTAATATGGTTAGCTGTCACTTTTAAACTACATAAATGCATAAGCTCTCCCAACAGCTTCATGTGCTTATCTGATGCTTGAATGTTCAGAAATGAATAAAGACAAACTATAACTGTCTTATATGTCAGCTTGCCTTCCTTAAAAGGAGAGGAAGAATAGCATTGTACTTTCGAATGTTTGTTTGGCACTAGTTGATAAATATTTTTCCTCTAACTGTTCTGTAAAATGCAGGGGAAGGAAAAAGGACAGAATAAAAACTAACTCCCCTTCCAATGCACACCTTTGCAGGAACTAGGTTTCACAGGATCTGACTTTTTTCCCCTGCAGCACATGTTTATGAACAAATAATCTTTATATATAATTGTGTTATTTGAAAGTCAGCTATAATGCAAAACAAATCTGTTTGGCTTATGTAGATAGTGCAAAACATCAAAGTTGTGTTGCTTGGATTGCTGAATGTGCATTCATGTAATTCTCATTTGTGGTCGGTAGAACCATGTAGCCATGCTTGCAAAGTATATGTGAGGAACAAACACTAGGAACTGATGATACAGAAGCTAAAGTAAAGCAAAACTCAGAGATGAAAGAGGGAGACTTAGTTTCCCTACGTGAAACTGAATAGTGGAAGGAGTAAGGTTTCATTGAAATTGTATAAAAACAGCTCATAGGTTTGACATAAAAGGTAGCCCTGCTGTGAAGACACTGTACTGCTTTGAAAGAAATAGATAGGGGTATAATCCCAAGCTTTCCTTTTTGTCTCTTCTGTGTAGAGATCAGGACAAAGAAAAGTGTGTTAATAAGAAGTAAAATACTTTATTTTTTCATCTACAGTAAAAGAAGTGGAAAACAAGCCTTGCAGAACAATGAGGTAATTCTTTCTTCATTAAAATGTTTTTAATAATTTTAAATACTGGGTTTTTTTAAGTCCCATAATTGTAGTTTTATTTTGGAGAGAATGGTGGCTATGGTGCAAATGTGGTTTGAATGATACTTTCAGACTTGCATTGGTGAAATAAATGGAAGAATCGGGATAATCACATGTAGCTGATGTTTGACCAAGTAATGATATATTCTTGACATGTACCATGTGCTTTTTCATCTTTTTGTGCCTTATGAATGTTTAAGGACTAGTGTTGTAAGTTTGGCTGTAAGCATAGCAACAAACAGCTGCCTATAGATTTGGTATGACTTGTATTTGCTTTTTATTTAAAAAAGTATGGAACAAGATGTAGAGTCTGACAATTTCTAACAAGTACTTCAAACTTCTGGTAGGAGGTTTGGCATTTCCCTGGTCTTTTGTGTGTCTGTTAATTCATTTATTTGAAAAGGGTATGTTATAACCCTTTAAGTCAAGTTTTTTGTTTCATGTTCAAATAAAACATGACAGCCCAAAGGACAGAGCCCATGGTTAGAAATATTGGATCATATGATGGTGTGAATAGATAACTATTCCATGTACTTCCGTCTTTGCTGAAAACTGAAGAAAAGGCTTGCACTGGATAAATATAAAGGTGTATACAAGCATCCTATTAGCTTCTAGCCAGATCTTGACTGCACTATCTGCCATAAACACTTGTATTTTGCATAGCTATACCTATCTATAAAAATCTTAACTAGCTTTCTCTTATTCCTACCCATCTTGGATATAATTATACTGAATAAGGAATTAACAGTCTAAGGAAAAAGCCCTTTGGGAAAGAAGACATTGGATTAATTGAAATAAAACACAAGTAGAAATGGGGAAGAGATGGATAGAGAGGAAGAATAGGTTTGGCTCAGACATCAAATATGTCTAGTCAGGTACTCCTAGAAATTTTGCACATCAGACATTGCGTTTGTCTTTTCTATTACAGAAAAGCAATAACGTGTAAGGTCATGCTTCATTAGGCCTGGACAGTAGTCTTTAGTTGTTGGGATTGCTTGGATTTTTTTGTGTAAATAATTTTTAATTAAAATATTTTTATTATCTACCATATAGCATCCTATCTGGCTAGAATTTTTATCCGTAGTTTGTGTTCACATAGTTTTTTAAAAAGGACAGGACTATAGTTGACTTCATCCCATGAAAAACAAGTGTAGGCTTATTCACAGAGCATTCAGAGTATATTTGTGTTTGCTGGGGCTCAGAGCTCACACTTGTTGCCCAGTAAGTGAAGAGATTAAGTTGGGCTCTTTGTGTAAGTTTCTGTGGTTTTAATCATCCTTGGAAATAAAAAAAAATAGAGTGCTTGATAGGATTGTCTCAGTTGATTAATGGTGAATCACAGGCTCCTGTATTTGTCTTCCCTATCCTGTCTCCCTAGTTTTTTCTTTGAGGTTTCCTGTCTGAGTATGTTGTAGTATTACTATAGGCATTGATAACTTATGCTTCACATGAATTTTGGGTAGCAAAGATAGCAGGATTAGGTTGATTAGGCAGGACTTGTTTTAAGTACACATGTATGCCCTTTTAGTCTGTTTTCAGGACTGAATCCTTATGTCACAACTGTGAAAGGAAAGAAGGAAAACAAAGGAAATAGAGAAAAGATACCTGGACCATTAGCTTGTTAAAAAGTATTCAGGTTAGTAGGACAGAAGATAGGGGTATATGGAGTAAACAAATGCAACTGACCCAAATAAAAAGTGTTTGGGTATAGGAGGGTTTTTAAGTCTAGTAGATTTAGTTCACTGGGAATGTGTTGCACTGTTTTTTAGAAGTAAAGGAATAACAAATTCTGGTTTCACTTCAAGCAAGTTTGGGCTGTACAGTCAAGGAGTTTAAACCATTAATGGTCTAGAGAAATGATGGAAGGCATCTTTAGAAGAAACCATCAGCCAGTATTTTTAGAGACAAGCAATGTTAAGAGATGGCACATTGCATTATAACTTGTAATTGGATGTTTTAATGCTGTGCTCTGCATTGTTCGTGTATCACTTAATGTAGATTTGAAATAAGTATTATTTTGTATCATGGCAGCTGCTTCCTATTGCAATTTGATTTAATAGCTTAGTTCTCTTAGAATTTGTTAGCTGTGAGGGCATATGCTCCCAATCTTACATTTCATTTAACTTGCGTAAGCAAGTGTTTAATTGGAGGGAAATATTGCAAATGCTGCAGAAGGAAGGTAGCTGTAAATAACTTGGATAGGGAAAATATCACATCAACATTTAAAGAATACATTACCAAAAAAATAAAAATCTCACTTTTCTTGTTTTGCTTGTTCTATGTGCAGCAGAAAGAGGGAAAGAAGGAGCGAGCAATGGTGGACAGAGTGTTTATTGCAAGAATATGTCGAATCCTGAAAATAATGGTCCCTAGAACACTTTGTAAAGAGGTAAGCATTGCCTGCAGTAACAAATAAAAATGAGTGTTTTTGGAGTCAAGTTGTCTTTCACAATTATACCAGCATTTAAACAAAAGCATATAATTTACTTGAATAGGACTAAATTGTACTACATGTTTTAAAATAGCAACATGGCAATATAAAAATCTGCATGTATGTTCAGTTGTTAGATCGCTGAAGTTGCATTCTGGTTTGAATTACAAGATAAGCCATTTACTGTCAGCTAGTAACTACTGTCTGTGGTGTATCTCTTAAAAGGGCATCCAGGTTTTGCTTGATTTGATGCAAGATAGTACACTTCTCTGTGCAAATGCTTCCTATCTTTAAATAGCATGCTGTTCATCCATAATTTTGCTTTTGTAACTTATATCTAGGCCAACCCTTATTAGAAAGTGAATTTGTCAAAACGTCCGTTAGCATCATTTCAGGAAAGCTATGCAGACTGGAATTTAGCAACATAAAATTGTTTGCCTCAGCGTCTTTCTCATGCTTTCCAGAACACTTAAGTTTTTTTTAAAACAGTGTTAGTTGAGCTCAGAATGTAAGTGATGAACTGTAATAGAACTTCAACACACATCAGGCACAAGGGCAATGAATTCCAATGTACAGAATGTAGAGCAAGCATAGCAGCCAGCTAGCGTGGATGAACAGGGACCTTTGACAGCTCATTCACGAAAAGGAAGTACACAGAAGGTAGAAGCATGGATGGGAATGCCTCTGAGGGTGCTGACAGTGCTGACAAAGCTGGCCTCCATCAACTTGAAAAGGTCATGGCCATCAGAAGAGGTTACTGATAATCCCCAAGAAATCCAAACATCACGCCCATCTTTGAAAACAAGTATACTGGAAGCTACAGGCTAGCTAGCCTCACCATGTTCCTAGTAAGGCTCTGAGTAAATCATCCTGGAAGCTAACTCCAGCCACATGAAGGACAAAAAGGTGATTGCAAACAGCCAACCTGGATTTATGAATGGCAGATCATGCCTTACTAGCCTGATTGCTCTCCATGATGAGATGACTGGCTCTGTGAATAAGGGAAGAACCGAAGATGTTGAATACTTTGATTTTATCAAGGCCTTGAGACTAAGGTCTCCCCTAGTATCTTGGTAACCAGACTCAATTGGCTGGATGAGTGGACAATGAAGTGGATGGAAAACTGGCTGGACTGTTGGGCTTAAAGGTTTTTGGTCAATGGTACAGGGTCTGACTGGTGACTAGTGGCCTTGTTTTGAGTGTGGAGTTAGAGTAGGTGACCTTCAGAAGTCCCTTGCAACCTATATGAACCTATGCTTATGGCAGAAAGGTGTCTCAGAATAGTAGTAACTTCTTCACCCCTGCAATCCTCAATCTTATAGGATGTGTCCAGTGTATGTATCAACCAAATACAGCTTTTAAAAATACAAACTTTCTCCATAAAAATGTAATTGGTATTTTATTAAAAATATTGTATGCTAATGTGTTTCCTGCAAACTAAGCAAATATCATATTAGCTGATGGCAGCAGGGTGGTACTATTCTGCTAGATACGGTTGGAGCCCTTACTAGAGAAGAGGTGAATTTTATCCATTCTTTAACTGTTACACTTTTGGTTTTGTACTAGACAGGTTATTTGCTCCTTATTGCTGTGATGCTGGTAGTCCGCACATATTGTGATATTTGGATGATTCAAAATGGAACAGTCATTGAAAGGTATCTATAATCTTCCTATTTTTAAACATTCTTTCTTGTGTTTAATGGGGAAAGTAGTCTGTCAGAACACATATTCAGACATTTTATAGCTTGCTTATTCATATAAAACAGTTGGAAAACTGGTATAGTTGCAATTTTGGGGGAGTATCCGTGGTATATTTTTTTTTAAAGAAAAATAAAAATTAATCAACTGTTTTTCTGCTGTTGGACACAATTTTATTTGTTTAACCAAAATTTACTTATTAAAAGATTTTCAGTTATTTTGGTCACATTTTGTACACCAAAGACTCTAAATCTTATGTTGAACTGAATATCCAAGAGGGCACTTCAGAATAGTGGCGTAGTGGTTCTATGTCATAGACTCAGACATGTTGTGTGGATAGTATGACTGTTACTTCTTCCTGCTGAGCTGTTTGCTCTTTAGATTGATAAACACAATGCTTTTGGTCTTACCGTTTTAGAAAGTGTTTTCTAGACCTCTGATTATTCTTGTTGCTCTTCTTGCTAATTGAAGCAAGTCAGAATTTGTCTTGAAGTTTGAATTTAAAGTGATATTGTATTTCAGGAGAGATTTTCAGTGCTTTGTTGAATAGGACTGGTTTGTTTCTCTCTTGTGAGAATCTATGAAAGCAAAGAAGGAAAGGAACTTGTATTCTGTGACCATGAATTTCTGAGCCCTTAATGCAGGCAGTTACTGCAGGAGCAGAAGGGAGATAATTGTTTAGTCTGTCACTTAGCACTTAACTTACAGAAGTCTGTCATACTTGATCCTACAGCTGATAATACAGATTTCCACAATGATTTTTTTTTCCCTCTGTGTGGTCCACTGAGAATTTATCTACTTAAAACATGCTAGCTTATACTTTCTTGTTTCTCTTGTAACTAACTCTTCGCTGATGGTTGTTTACAGTGCTATCATTGGCCGCAGCAGAAAAGATTTCAAGAAATACTTGTTCAACTTCATCGCTGCAATGCCTGCTGTAAGTGCTTTTCTTGTGCTGGCCTTTCAGCAGAACATATTTAAAATGTAAATTAAGAATTTGAGGAAAATATCTCAAATTGGTGTCTTAAAACCCATGGAAACTAGTTGTCTTACATGCAGGTCTGTATCAAGATGCATTTCATTTTCTGGCTTCAGTGTGTGGGAGACTTTATCAGCATGTTTCCTTATTGATTGCAGCTATTTTTCTGACAGATATGTTTAGGTTTTCAGGTTGGTTTTCTTGATGGCAGTTTTGACTGATAGCTTAACGTGCCATCTGTAATACTGCATAATAACATCTTATGGACTGGATGATGTTTCAACATTGTAGGTTTGGGATTCTTTTGACACCATTGAAGATGAAGATTTCTTTTTAGCCTTTAATTTTTGTATTTCTTACAGCTGCCTCTGAGATTCGTTACGGTTTTTCCTGCCCTTTAACTTCTCTTCAGCTTGTCAACGTCTCTGACCTGCACCAGACAGAAATAATTGTTACTACCTAATAGATAATGTGGCTGGTTTACAATAGATTTAAAAACTAATTGATAAATTTAAGGTAGTGATTGTCGAATGGTGGCTCTTTTCTAGAGCTTATCAGTAGAGCTGAAGATATGCGATGTGAAGGTAGTTTTAATCTTTTGATGTGGTGAGATCCACTGGGAACTGGAGTTGTCAAAAATGTAGACAAAACCTAATCAGTGATCCTGCAGACACTATATGGTTAGTCTTAGATGTGTTAATAATATTATTGACTTCAAGGGGAGAATTCACCTGCTCTAAAGTGTTTGCACAATTTGTGCTGCAAACTGATCTAAGTATATTAAATCTCATCAGCTAAATATTGAAATGCTATCTCTTATTTTAGATCTCTTTAGTGAATAACTTCCTGAAGTATGGTCTAAATGAATTGAAACTCTGCTTCCGCGTAAGACTTACCAGATACCTCTATGAGGAATATCTTAAGTAAGTAACACCTTGTTAATCTCTGAAGGTTTTAAAAACTAAATTGATTAAAATCAAACCAAATAATTTTAAGTACATAGTAAGAAGGTAGCAAGGTGCTTAATAGGTTAGGTTTACTGTTTAGAAAAGGCTTTTGGTTGCAATTAACTTGCAGTTAAGGATGAGTGGCTTATCTAGGTTGTATATGGCACAGATACAAAGACAGCAAAGTTGGCTGAACTGGGGGCAGGGGGAACTGCACTGTACTGCTTCTGTTACTGGGTCAGCTTCCAAAGCACTTCAGTTGCTTTCATATAGTGCTCATAATCCTGCAGACTGAATTGGATGCATGAACTTGATTAGCTGCTTATGTCCTCCTGCACTGAATTTTGGTTGTCAGGTCTGCTGATGCAGAGTTTGTGAGGGTTTTCTAACTCTAAGTGCAGCAGCAGTTCATAGAGCAGCATGGGCCTCAGCTTCAACTAAGACATCCTAGAGCCCAAACAGTTCTACAGGATTTAATGTGGATCTGGTCAGGCAGAAACACAAGCTATGTTGACTCCATACAGTCATTTAATGTTTGCACTACTTTCCATCTCAATTGTCAGAAGCAGGGGGGTTCCAATTATTGAGATCTCAGGTAGTGAATTTTTTCTGCCACTTAGCTATTGTTTTGTTTCAGAGCTTATACATACTACAAAATGGGAAATCTGGACAACAGAATAGCTAATCCAGATCAACTCCTCACACAGGATGTGGAAAAATTCTGTAACAGTGTAGTGGACCTGTACTCAAACCTCAGCAAGGTAAGTCTTTTCAGAGGTAACTTTGAGTAATAGCTGTGGATGTTTAGGATGTGGTGTCAGAGCTCAAAACAGTTGCTTGCATTTATATGTGTATTGCTTGGAGTATGGTGCTAAAAAAAAATTGTTTATGATATTATATAATTTCACACTCCCTGTGGTTTCCATGACCTCTGCTAAAGCACTGTTGTGGGTTGTTATAATTTGTGTTCCATTTTCCTTTAAAGAACTTATTGCATTCTTTTGCAGTTGAACTGTGATGAGTATGCTTTCTCAGCTGGTTAGGTTTCAGAAGAAAACCAAGGGCTAGCTTTTAGTTCCATATTAATATTTTTGGGGGTAGGGAGGTGTGGTTGAATAAGCATTTCCCCTGTTTCTGGTGTAAATTTTAGGGGGTTTAGGTAATGAAGTAGAATACTGTTGAAATTTTTAGACTAAATTTTTTTCATGTTATGTTGTTTATACAAGCGGAAGTATAAAGCAAAACGCGAGTTGATGTGTTCAAAAACTTCTGGCTACAAAACCTGTAGTTCAGCTGCTCTAGCTTTGAGACAGAGTGCATAGAACAGGATACTTGCAAATTGGAATATTGCTTCTATCAGGTATATAGCCAACTATATAGCATTATCCTTTTGCTCATTATTTCTCACAATTACTTCAGTTAAGTAATCATGGGGTCTAGTCCAACTTTGCTTAGTGAGCAGAGTGTTATTACAGACCTAAAACAGTGAAGTACTTTTTTATATGGTATGTACTTTATTGGAAGATCATGATGGTTTTATGTTCAATTCTTGAGGGAATGTTTTCAGGAAAATGTCGTGTGGCTGAGATTCCTTTTTGTTTTAGCATTCAGTTTGTATGATAGGTTAACCAGTGTTGTGCTTTTAATGCAGTCCTATAACTGTTCTTGGGGTGGTTTCTAGACCATTTTATTTGTTTTATATTGGTGTTCTAATGCTTTTTTTTCTATGCTTCTCTTGCAGCCCTTCTTGGATATAGTTTTGTACATCTTCAAGCTAACAAGTGCAATAGGAGCTCAGGTAAACTATAAGCAAATTTTCCCTTCTTCGGTTATAGCCTTGTACCTGTTTGCAGTCTGAGGAAGACTCTAGATGTTAATTATAGATTCATCCATTATTTGAAGGAATATACTGAAAATATGCTTTTACACTAAATGCTTTGTATGCTTTAGTACCCTTTATCTTGAGGCAAGCAAAATAAAAACCAGAATTTGCAGGCATTCAATGATTTGAAGAAACAAGACAGTTTTTTATTCTAGCAGTTACTTGGGAATCCCATTTAGTACAGTACCCTTCTGGCTGCTTGTATCTTGCATGACTTCCATTTAAGGGAGAAAATAAGTTTTCTTTTTCTTTGCAGCCTCTATAAAGGGGAGCCATTCCTTGCATTGAGCTGTGTGACCATTATATTCCCTCCCAATAAGCTGAATCATTTCAGAAATAATTCTTCAGCTTAGTAAAATGATTCATTGTCAAAAATGTTCAGAATTTGACAAGAAGTAGTTCTGGGACCCATGATATAGATTTTGTCAAAACAGACTGCAGTAAGGCTTGGCTGAACCTAGGTAGTTTTTCCAGTCTCAGACATCTTTGCGTTGCTTTCTGTAATACTTAGTTATTACAGGCAGTTTATGCCAAATTCAGTTTATGCCTTTGGTTTTATGCCATGCTACACTTCAGTAATATTTAAGCATGCTATTTGGCAGCCCTGGTTTGTTGAAGCTTAGGATCCAGAAGAATAAGAGATCCCTACCAGGACTGCTTAAGAGAAGCAGGAAATGTGTTGGGAGATATATGGATTAAAGAAGGGAATGGGACTTGAAATATTGACTGCGATGACAATGTAGCAAATAGAGAGGAAAAGTAGTAAGTAGAAATGAAGGAGAGGAAATGAGAAAGGACCAGGAAATTATTAATGAAATAAGCTGGGACAGTAGGACACAGATTGCACTGAGTGATGATAAAAACTTGAGTAGAAGACTGGAATGGGAAGGGCATCTGGGGACAGAGAATTAGTGAAATTAGTAAAACAGTGTCTACAATGCAAAAGAAAGGAACATGATGGGAATTGTAAGAGTAGTTGAATTGGTAACATAGACAAATGGGAGGTGAGAATCATGGGGTTTATGCTTTCTGGGCATTTTGGATACAGATGTTGCAATTTGAGACCATCTAAATGGTAAGTTTTTATTCTTTTTTGATTCACAGGGTCCAGCTAGCATGATGGCATACTTGGTCATTTCGGGGTTTTTCCTTACACGTTTAAGGAGACCAATTGGCAAGATGACTATTATAGAACAAAAATATGAAGGGGAGTACAGATATGTCAACTCACGGCTTATTACAAACAGGTATAGATTTACTCGGATGGCAAGATGTAAGTGACAAAGTAGTACTGTGGTGTAAATGGAAGCTGTATGTTAAAACATATTTGGAAAGTCTGATGCTGTCAGTTCTGAGCAAAGCGTTTGCATCTTTATGCAGATTATTATTAAATAATTTGTATGTGCATTATATTCCTAATTCAAAAGACAAACTGGAGCTGGGAGTATAATAAGCTCATGTTCTATTGTGAAAAAGTACCAACTCTTATTTCATAAAGTAACTGAAAGAGCTATATTCCTGTGTTTTATGGCTGACTTTCAAAGACTGTCTAACAAAATTAAGTTGCTTTCTTTGTGGGTTTGTTGTTTTTTTTAGTGAAGAAATTGCTTTTTATAATGGAAACCTGAGAGAAAAACAGACTATTCACAAAACCTTCCGTAAACTAGTAAGACTTCTTTTATCTTTTAAAACATTTTAAGCAAAACTTCAATTAATTTTATCATGGTGATTTTTGACATATATTAATATAAATGGAATTATAGTGGCTTGGTGTCTATGCTGCTACAGTCATTAGATTGAAAAATAAATCAGTAGGCTATAAGCAGAACACAAGTTTCTGATAGAATGGTCTTTCTTTTGCCACTTACCTCCTTTTTACCCACCACAATTACTGTTCTCTTACTGCTTAGTTTCAGGTGTAGGTTGTTTTGATCTAGAGTGCAAGTCTTTGCCAGCAGGGACACTTGTGCAGTGCTTGTCACAGTTATAGGCATGTTGAGGTATCTGTGACTTGCTAAAAAATAACTGTTTGGAATCAAACATCTGTAAAATAATAAAAGATAGTAAACCAGGTACTGATAGTAGTTTGACTTTTTTTTTTCCCCTGTAACTTACCAGGTGGAACACTTGCATAATTTCATCTTGTTCCGGTTCTCTATGGGTTTCATTGATACTATCATTGCCAAATGTAAGTGTTTGTCCAGTGCTAATGGATTGCTGTAAATAACAAAGTGCTAAACTTTTAAAAAGAGAATGTTTTCTTATTGCTTCAATGAATGCATAGCTTAATATTTACTCTCAAACTGCAGACCTTGCCACTGTGGTTGGTTACCTGGTTGTTAGTCGTCCATTTTTGAACCTGGCTGATCCTCGTCATCAGAATAGTACTCATGCAGAACTTTTGGAGGTAAATAGAACAGAATTAAAACAATTTCCTGAATTTAAATTTTGTTAGTCCACATAAAGAAACTTTCTTCTACTGTAGGATTACTACCAAAGTGGAAGAATGTTACTGAGAATGTCTCAAGCTTTGGGCAGAATAGTCCTAGCAGGCCGTGAAATGACAAGATTGGCTGGGTAAGCTTAATAGTAGTTGTGTAAAATAATATTTTGTAAAATTATGTTGTTGTTTCTCAAACTCATTTTAATTCTACAGTCAGTTTCTTAAAATGAGATATCTGCTTTGTTCATTGCAGCACCCTAAAAAATCTAGAAATTAAAAACATTTTATGCTGAAAACTTATCTGAAGACGTGCTACTTATGTCCACTAGTAATTTCATATCTGAATAGTAACAGCATACAGTTTGAATGTTTAATTGAAAAGACATTGTCAAATGCTCATAAATCAGTTATGTATTGATTATTTATCTAACTGGGGTTTTTTTGGGTTTTTTACATTTTAAGAAGAAAAGTTATCAAATGTTTGGTTATTACAGGAAAAGGTTCTTGTAAATATTGTGAATATTGGACCACCTTAGTGCAACTCTAAAATGTAAACATTTGTTTCTATGCTGGGTTGAATAGCTTTGTCATTTTGACAGTTTAAGAGTGCTCATTAGAGTGTCTATGGATTTCTAAAACTTCTAAAGATTAATTACTTACAGCTTGGTTTTTGGTTTTGTTTGTTTTTTTAGTTTCACAGCTCGAATTACAGAATTAATGCAGGTTCTGAAGGACTTGAATAGTGGCAAATATCAGCGTACTATGGTATCACAAGAAAAAGGTAGATGTGACATAATATGTAATATGTGCATCTCTGTGTAGTGTTCCACTCTCTAATACTTTTTTCTTAATTTAAGATGCAGATAAAAAGCAAGTTTTGCCTTTGATACCTGGATCTGGAGAAATTATCAATGCTGATAACCTTATCAAGTAGGTTTACAAAGTTTCCACAACTTCAGTACTTTTAACGTAGTCTGGCTTTTAAATCTTTTCCCCTACCACTATTAATATATGTTTTAATACACACTATTACAGTATGCAATTCCTGTTGTACTATAGCTTATTTACAAATAATTCCACCTCACTCCCACTCAGCATTTCTATTCTGTAAGTCAATCCTTGTCATCTCATGTTAGCAAAAGACATAATATGCTGTCTAGATTTAGCCTTTTTGGTAACATTTCCTGCTGTTGTTTGGAATATGACTTCCCAGACCATTTTGTTGACACTTTATCAAATTTCTTAGAAGTCCATTGGTTACAGATTCTATTCCATTATATAATTCAGTTGTAAAAATCAGGGGCAAGTTTGTATTCAGTTTCAAAATATTTGCTTGTATTTTCTGTATGCTCAGACAATTCGTTGATGTACTCAAGCAGCAATCAATTCCTCCATTCTTTGCAGTCTGAGGAACATAGTATTGACATAGTAGTACTACTTAAAGTTATATAGTAAAGCTAGTTAAGAGATTAAATAGCCTCAATCTGGTCACTGTGGAAAGCAGATAGTGCAGTAGAGGGGAAAGAGGGGAGGAAGAGAGAGCTATTTTTATTATTTTGTTTAAAAAGAAAAAAAAGCAAGGGGCACATGAGCAGAGAAGTCATTCATTGTGTATCTTAGAACTAATGGAATACACTTCCACTAGCAGGTTTAAAATTAAGTGCATCTTTAAATGTAGGTTTATATCCACAAGATGTTTTGGAGACCAAAGGCTTAGAAGGATTCAGAAAAACAAATACATGAAGGAAAAAAATAAAATCTGTACATGTTTGTTAAATGCTAAAGTATCACTTTGGGTTCAAGAACTTTCTTAGCTGTTAATAGTTAGAAGCTGGGGCAGTGTACTGAATGAAGTACTGCTGAAGTCTTGCCGTATTCCTTAAATCTCTGAGTAAGCATGCGTTATTAGCTGCTTTTAGGCAACTGCTTTTTTTTTTTTTTTTAATCTTGCAATACAAATAGGTTTGATCATGTTCCGTTGGTGACACCAAATGGAGATGTTTTGATTCAAGACCTTAACTTTGAGGTAAGTTGTTTGGTTGGGGTTTTTTAATATCATAGAAAATTATATTCATATAAAATTTGAAAGTGAAGATAATAATTTCATAGGTAATCTGATTTATAAAAGAAAGTGCAAACAAAAATGGAGAGGTGCTTATATGGTATTCTTAAATCTGAACAAAATTAATCATGTTAGTTTAAAAAAACAAAAAGGCAATAAGCTATTTTCCCAGAAAATGTTCATATTGTTACAAGTGTGTTTTCTTCCGGCTGCAGTTGGTGCTAAATTAGTTGGGGAAAAAAATAAATTATTGGTGGAAATTACTCATTTTCATGTCAAAGTACTATGTACAAGCCTACAAGAATACCAGCTTGTCTTATTGTTTGTAGAAGCTTTCAACAATACTTTTTTACTACCCTTTTAATGCATTGGCTTTGCGTTTTTAGGTTCGATCTGGTGCAAATGTACTGATTTGTGGGCCAAATGGGTGTGGGAAGAGCTCACTTTTTCGTGTTCTTGGTGAGGTAAGGGAACTTTTTAAAATAAACGGGGGACAATCCAAAGCACTGTTCTAACTGGACTTTTTTGGTCAAGTTTAAACCTTTTTCGTGTTGCAGTTGTGGCCTTTGTTTGGTGGGCGTTTAACAAAACCTGTAAGAGGAAAGTTGTTCTATGTTCCCCAGGTGAGACAAAGTACTTTAACTGGCAATAGTGATCTCATTATTCCTGTTTTGACTATGTTTAGAAATATTTAACATAGTTTTTTGTTTCTAACTGTATCTCAGAGACCATATATGACTCTTGGAACACTCAGAGACCAAGTTATATATCCAGATACTTTAGAAGATCAGAGGAAGAAAGGGATTTCTGATCAGGTAATGATAATTAGTTCATTAACCTTTTATCTTGCTTAAGATGAGTAATGCTTCAGATTTAAAAATACTGAAACTGCTATTAAAAACACTGCATTTAGTTTGTTTTTAATATTTGTCAGGGTTGATAGTACAGCAGTACAATAGTGTAACGCTTTATAATATTTTTCAATCTTTTCTTTAAGTTCATTTAAGCTCTGTTTGTCATTCTTGTTTCAATGAAAGGTGCTGAAGGAGTACTTGGATAATGTTCAGCTGGGTCAAATCTTGGAACGTGAAGGAGGCTGGGATAGTGTTCAGGATTGGATGGATGTACTCAGTGGAGGAGAAAAACAGAGAATGGCAGTATGTCTTAAAAGCATAAGTACTTAACAAATACAGGACATGGGTTGAAAATGTAATCTGAATTGTAAGCGGTTTTTGTTTACTAAATATTAATATTTTACTTAAACCCCCAAAATGTGAAATACCTGAGTACTGAGAAAACAACCTAAAATAGTGTTTATTGTACTCAAAATTTAATAGGAAATGTTGACCTTTTACCATACCTTACACTTTGATTATATAAGCAGAAGTTCTAAAATAATTTTTTTGCCCCACCCCCCAAAAGTAAAGATAACATATAGCTTTTGGATTTTCAGGCTTCAGTGGGTGACAACTTAAAAGAAATTCCCTTGCCACAGTAAATATTTGGACACTAATTCTTAGTTTAACTTCTAACACTGCATTATTGGTTGTAGTTTTATATCCACAGTAGCTTTTTGGTTTGTGTTCCAGATGGCAAGGTTATTCTATCATAAGCCCCAGTTTGCAATTCTGGATGAGTGCACCAGTGCTGTTAGCGTTGATGTAGAAGGCTACATTTACAGCCACTGTCGAAAGGTAAGCTCTTTGTTTCTGGAGTTATATCTCTGTGTGTTAAGAGGAAACTTAAAATGATACAAGGTGCAATCTTACTTATGCCTAGTGCAGATTGAAAATTAAAAAAAAAAAGCTTAGAAGGGCATGCAATGACCCTTTTGCACACTAGAATTCAATAATCAATAATTGTTTTGTAGTCTTAGGACAATTTAGATGTACGTGTGGCCTCTATATCAGAGAACTCTTACTAACTGCTAAGTAACCTCACTTTTCCAGATAAACTCTTAGAATGTCAAGTGAAGATCAAATAATCTAAAACTTTAGACTTTGTTGTTTGAGAGGTTTCTTTTGGCCAGGGCAACAGAAGTGAAAGGCTGGAAGTTAACATTTGCATCTATTTTGAGATATGAAAAGACAAGCACTCTAGGAAAACATGATAATATTAAATATAGTATTATTTTTTCCTTTCCCTCTTATATTCACCATTTCAGATTCTACATAGTGCCATGTGAAATATCAGTAAGATTCAATTTCACACCCCTAGCCTGGGAAAGAATAGGCTTGAAATAACATTAATTATTGAGTAGCAGTTTTCTCAGAATGGTAATGGAGCAAAGCTGTGCATCCACTAAAATATCTGCTTGAACCTTGAAGTGGGAACTTAAGGAGCCTTATGTAGTAGTAAATTGACACTAGAGGAGGACTGTGCAGAAGAACAGATGTTATCTCTTGAACTAATTTTACCACATTAATATCAATACCCTGACAATTTTCTAAGTCTGTTTTGCATAATTTGTATGTTTGTTTTAGAGTTAACTGTTGCCAAGTGCTAATGCATATTACTGAAAAATAGAATTCCTGGTTAAGCTGTCCTTGCAGAAGGAAAAAAATGTTACCCTGTTTTATCAGACCCATTTTGTCCAGGTGCTACTGTTAGGGATGCATAATTAACTGAGTTGCAAGGAAACAAAGGTAGATTATTCACCTTTAAATTATCACTTTAAGTTTATAATTCATTAATAGCTTTTGTGATTTTGGGTTTTTTGCTGTTAAAGTAGACTTCTTTTAATCACTAGGTTTGTTGTTTTACCTGCTTGCTACCTTACCTGCTTTGCCCAGTTCATTCTACATTTTGCCAGATCACTAAGAGCAAAAGAATGGTGAAATCAGTTAAAAAAGATAAACTCCTCCTGCTTTTTTTTAACTGCAAAATGTTGTATTAGGATTACATATGTATACTGTTAATAAAGTCTCGAAGTTTGTGTTTGTGAATTTAACCTCTTCAGCTGATACCATGCTGAAAAATAAACACCTAAGCCATGAGAAAAATTAACTGCTTTGTTGTGTGCATTTTTCTTCATGTAGGTTGGCATCACTCTCTTCACTGTCTCCCACAGAAAGTCACTCTGGAAACATCATGATGTATGTATTCTTTGCTTTTGCTAAGGATATCTGTAGATGGTAGGGGTTTTGTTGTTTGACTTTCTATTAAATTGACTTTACAATTCAAGATGTTCTCATTTTACATCCTAACAGGTCATGTTCTGTTTTTTTTAAAAAGGCTTTACTTTCATAATCCAGTTGCACTATCTGAAATATTCTTACGTTTCTAGTTATGAAGGGAAAAGTAACCAAAAATCTGTAAACATATCTGTAAAAGTAGCCTCAAAAATATGTAAGGTTAAGTCTTCTTTCTTAACCTCAAAAACCCCTCTTGAACCAGAATCCAGTAAACAGCATGGACTTTTTGTTTTCAAGATACCTAATATATCTATGCATTAAAAAAGTTCATTCCTAATACATGGACTTCTTTTCTTCCAAGCTAAGATTTTACTATTGTTATTACTTTTTATGCAGACAGACTCTGTGTGTGTGAAAAATACTGAATTAACACACAGGGATGAATGTGTAGTTTAAGTATATTCTTACAAAACTGAAGATAGCAGTGTTAAGTCTAGGTGTGGCCATTAGCAGACTGATGGATGATATGGGGGGGGGGAAGGTTTAACTTTTTTCCAGAGACAAGTGAATTTATTGCAACATGAGGTGGGAGAAGCTTACTATCTGGCTAGCTGAGTTTAAGATTTTGCATTAAAACTACTTCAAAATATAATTTTAGGCATTTATAGACGTGGTAATTTTCAGGTGATTGATAACGTCTGTTCTTTTATTTCAGTTTTATTTGCATATGGATGGCAGAGGAAACTACGAGTTCAAGAAAATAACTGAAGACACAGTTGAATTTGGATCTTAGTCATGAACTGAACTGCTACAGAGACTGATGATTACAGGAAGTGTGTAGAATGGCAGACATTGTACAGTAAAACTACTCAGCTTGTTTTTTAAACAAATTAACTAGGATAACCCAAAACAAGCTGTTAAGCATTAACTATTATGTAGGATATTGCTAATTGTGTATATGTTGGTTTAATTATTGATATGTACTAAGAATGTCCTTATTCTTGTGGTTTAAAAACCTGCCTAAATTAAATTGGGCTTAAATCAGTGTAACCTGATTCATCCTGGGATGCAAACAATTTGAAATCAGCTGATTTGACTTTTGTAGACCTTCTTTCCCTTCAAGGAAAAGCCCTGTTAAAATTAGGGTTGCTACCTCTCTTGTTCCTGCAAAGCAGTCTTGGATTTTTGCTCGTTCTATGCATATTTCTGAGTTATCTCACATGGTGCAGGACATTCTCCCATCTTCAGATCTGTGCCCTGTTAAATGAAAGAGCCTTTTCCTTGACTAAGCCTTGTGATGTAGCCAATACACCCTTGCTGATAAAGAATGGACTGAACCTAAAAGACAAAACTAATTCCTTCTGGTAAAAATATTAAGCTTGTTCTTTGCTGGGTTTTGGGTTCTCTTTAACATCTGTCTGTCCATGCAATTCTCTTTGCTGCTCAGCAATCCTATTCTCTCCCAATTTAGCAAGAGCTTCATCCATCCCACACCCCAGCTACCCTTTTTCAGTCAGAGAAGTACTATGGTAATGAACAGTTGAGAGGAGGTTGAGGGAGGAAAGGACTAACAAAAAAAAAAAAAAAAGGAAAAGAAAAGTGATGTTCTTTGTATCAAACAATCTTGTGCATGTTTTCAGCTCTGAAGAAATTAATGGGTCCCACAAGTAGAAACAGAGAAAAGAATGTGGATCCAATCATTCTTCTCTTGAAATCAGTAGGGGTTAGAATGGGCCCAAAAATCTGTGAAATAGCAGACTGTTATCTGTGCCGTGTGTGTTCAGTCCTGTAATACAGCAGTTGCTTTTTCCAAGTTTGTCCTTTTCTCCCTCTTCAAAAAAAATCAGATCTCCTCATGGTTTTAGCTGCCCTTCAGATCTGAGTTTGAACGCAAGTGGTAATGGTAGTTCTGTTTGGTCTTCCAGGCTGTGAAGCCTAAAATGATGCTTTCGTCCTTTGCATTTATTCTGTCATTTGCCATGATGTTTCTTGATTTCTGATACAAATTATTCACCAGTGATTCTCGCTGTTGTCTAAGGATCTCTAGTCCCCGCTGGTTTTCTTATTCCAGCTGCCAAATCCCCTTGAAGAAACTGAACTCTTTAAATAGTTTACTGTAACCATTTTTTCCATGCAGATGATTACTGTGGTTGCTGTGTGACTTTGTCAAACATAAATGCAGCAAGGTGATTTTTGCGATCAGGGAATAGGAAGGTATAATTCAAACTGAATCGGTGTTTGGTCTTTAAAACAATAATTTACAATACCTGTTCTACAGTGAAGGTCTGATAGTTTTTTAGTGTTCCATATAAGATACAATACAGGAATGCACTACATGAAGGCATGCATAAAATATGCAATAAATCTGTTCTTTTGCGTCTTTTGTCAAGGGTTTAGATTATAAACAAACCCAACTTTTTATAAAATTGGTATGTAGTTTGATGCACTGCTGTCTCTTAATTTTTACCCAATTTGATTAGTCATCATCTTTCATGTTGAAATTGCTACCTGATAATATTTTTCCTTTTATCATAGTACTTGCCCATACCTGTCAGTGCTACTCTTCTCTCGTAGTACTCAAATGCAAACAGCTATCCTGGTATAAGAATCTAGTGACCCCAGTGGGTTCATAGTATGAAGCATCAATGAAAATCAAGAAAGGCTCTCTGAAGTGTGGCATATTGAAGAGAATAAAGTACCAGAATAAATTTTTGTGCTTGGTCCACAAGAAGGCAAATAGATATCTCATTTACTAATTTTTTTCTGTTCATTCAGATTCTCACATCAGCCATAACGTAACAGGTAGAAGCATGCTGTATGTGAGGTGGTAGTCTTTTTTTAAATTGTAACCATGAAAATAGGGATGCCAGATAGTTTGTTGTGTGGGTTTTTGGGTTTGGTGGGGGTTTTTTTGTGGGTGGGTGTTTTGTTGTTTTTTTTTTGTGAAAGTTCTCAGCACAAATGTGACTTCTTCTCTTGGAAGGAGTGTTTTAATAGCCTTTTAGAGACACAAAGAAAAATAAAAATCTCTAAAATGAGGAAGTTGCTATTATCTTTGTGACTACGGCGGACTTTGCAGTGGAGTAGTGAACTTGGCATACTTTAATGTATTTTTAACACTGACACGCAAAACCACACGCAACACACTTATATAGCACCCCAGCAGCCAATCCCAAGATACTTTACAATTCAATTGGTTAATAACCAAATTTTATGTAATCTCAGACTTATTTTACAAACTAAAAAGAAAAAGAAATTAAAAATCCCACTCCATAACCAAGGAGGAATAGGTTTGCCTTTAGATGCCGTGAAGTTCGTTGAAACTGAGAATGCTAGTTATCTCCTTAGGGCCAGGACTTAGTGTTTCTAAATATACTGGAAGGAAAGAAAAATACTCTTCTGGTCTTGATTGTAAGAGAGGCTTATAAAGAAAGTATAAAAAAGAATGATGTTTTAGAATTATATTCTTAAAAGGCCTTACATTAAAGTATTTTGAGATAGACTTGGTTTAATGAAAGATTGTAAAAAAATCTAATGAAAATGATCCAAGTCTCAGTTCTGTTGCAGAATTGCACTGTGATACTGTATTTTAGCTGTTATGTCTTTTTAATAGCACAAGTTGGAAATTTGTAAATTGGAATTCTGAACTATCTTAGTAAGAGAAAGTACTGATGAATATTTTTCAGTCTCCAACTGTTGGTGCTTTGAAGATGGTACTGGTAATAGTCAGATGGCTGCATTTCAACAGTGGTGGGAAACATTCCTGTATGTAAATACTGTAAAGTGTTTTGGAGGGGGAAATGGCGCTATATAAATGTAAGACATTAAGTGCCTCTGAAATAATAATAAATCTAAAGATAAAATATATCTAGGCTTTCTGTGTTTCTTGATTAGGAATTTTGTAACAATACAGTGAATGCCTACTCAACAAATCTCAAGTTACTTCATGAGCCGATTGACTTGTGTTCAGCTTATAAAGTTAGTAGTACTGTCTGAAATTCACCCTGGAATCAGCCAGATGATGCCATCCAGTTGTAGGCTTAACAGAAAGCATGAGCTCAGTACTTGAAGATATCTACTTAGAGCAATTGGATTATAGGTGCATTAATCTGTTTTAGGTCTGCACTGATTCTGACTTCTCTCTTCTTTGTCTGCTGGCTACTTCTTTTTGCTTCAAGTTTATTGATTTTTAGAAGGGTGTGGGCCTGAATAAGGTTAACATAATATCAGTACTTAATGTGGTAATTCTTTTGAGTGCTCCTTTGTCTTTCTACTTTGAGGAAAATAGGATAATCACTCTCCACCTTTATTGTATTTGTGATTTTTAAGGTTTTTCTTTTGTTGTGGTAGACATACCAGCTATCAGGATACTTGAAACTCAGTAGTGTGAGAGTGAAACCAAGATATGCTTGAATGAACTGATTTTAAGTGTCTTCTCTTGTGATCAGTGTTTTCTAATGCTAATTAGTACTAATTTTTCCTTAGCTGAGATCATTTGTGCAACAAGTGTGTTGTGTAGCATTCTTAAAGGGTGGAGCTCCCTTTGAAAGGAAATTCCTCAACCAAGGATGCAGTCTAAAAATCTAAGTGTCATTCAACTTAGCTGATGAGCTGCATAGCAAAAAGGAACTTCCTTGTATGGATGGGATGTTTAATACTTAAATTTAATATTTAGAGTAGTATGAAGTCTGCTACTTGTTCAACTTTGGGCTCTCAGCTACCCAGTTAATTCCAAATGCTTGTTTTGTATGCAAAAACACTTTTAATTTTTCCTTATGTAGAGGGGAAAACATCAGTTCCTGGAACAGTAGTACTGAAACCATGGAGAAACAAATTCAAACTCCTTTTCAAGGATCAATCCACCCTCTTTTGAGGATGCTCGGTAGCTTTGGTCCAGTATTTCTGAATGTTTACTAAAGCTCCAGACAGCTATGCCCTCTCAGCAGAAATTAAGGTTTCTTGATGAAGACTATGTTTGGGAGGCAGTGATGCTTTCTACAGGACTAGCATGAGACTGGAATAAGCTGCAAGGTGAACATTGTTGTGAACCTTGTCATCTTCCATCCCAAGTGCAAAGCATGCTTCACTGCATAATGGATATATTTTTATTACCAAAAAAACCCACCAGCAGGAAACGCACAAAAATCCAACCTACCTCTGACCCTTGTAATTCTGGGAAAAGTTGGGAGTGTAAGCTACATCCTAGCCAGTACACATGTTGCAGGGGATGTTTCTTGCCCAAATGTGGCACAGATAGATTGGAGTAGATACACCTGGCTGGACAGCCCAAATACAGGATTACTTTAGCACCATTTGAAAGTGACGTGTACTATAAGAAAATTCTGGATGTATTGCCACTTCGCTAGCTCTCTGCTGTATACTAGAGAAGATGAATAGTGAGAAACAAAGCTACCATGACACTTACTTGACAGGCTTTTTAATTAAATCGCATCTAGTATTGACAACTTAAATGACTTATGCTTCTAGAGAATAGGGAATTCAATCTTCATGTTTCTTAAATCTATAAAGAGGAAATACCCTGTGGCTTAGGACTGGAGAGAAAGAACTAGTTTAGTGATTCTTCCATAGGATTCACCTTTCTGCACACTCAACAGATACCAGTGCACCACCTAATCCTTGGTTTTCTGAAGTGGTCTAAAAATGTGAAAAAACATTAAGGTGGCCTATCATCAAGATAGGAGTTAAAAATCCATTATTAAAATTTATCTATAATTCTTATAGATATTATGAGATGTCTGTAGAGACATCCATGATAATGATCCCCTGAAGTCCAACTGTGAAAAATAGTGGGGGGTGAAAGGTTACCTTGGTTTTATAGAAAAAATAAACTGCAACTTTTATCTGTCAAGAAGAAAATCAACTGTGTGCAAGTTCAAATTTCTGGTTATAAAGCCGCTGTTCAAAACACTTATTTCTATGTATAATGTATTTGCTTCTTTATTAGGTGTATATACTAGTTGGTTTGTGCCAGTCCCTTTCATGAGCATGGAAAGAGGTTTCTTGGTATTCTGAAGTGGTGATATGCATCTGTTTTGGGAGGAGGTTGGTTGGTTTTCCCTTCACATGTTGTGGTTCTAGACTCTTCCTAGTGCTCTGAATATAGTCAGATTTTTATTAACAATGCCTTAAAATTCACCTGGAAGTTTAGAATGGCTGTGCACATTACAGGTTCCTGTAATATGATTGTTTTTCAACAAAACAAACAACAAGCCCATTCAAACATAAGATGAAACTGGTTTCATTTCAAAACAGAAATATAGCCAGACTAGGTTACTGTGAAAGCAATTTGTCTTTTATGTTAAAACGTTAGAAAAATGTTATCTTCAAAGTTGCTCAGCCATCTTTGAACTGCTGCATCATTTTCTTTCCTTGTATACAAAAGTAGAGCCAGATGACAAGCAGCCTGGAACTTCACAGACAGAAGCTGTCTTAAGGGAGGAATTTGAAAAGTATGACACAGGTTTTAAATAGAAATAATATGCCTAAACATCTGGTGAAAGCCTATGGGGATTGACTTTGGAAACTAAAGACATTTTGCCAGTAATCCTGCAATGAATGCAACAGTGCAAGAGTAGTCGTCCAACTGTCAT